CGTTGGAGAAAATCTGTTCAAGTCTTTTGACACCTTCTAATCATTCTTTAAAATTGTAGGATTTTTTTTTATTATGATCATGTTGGTTTATAATACTGTGTATAATTTAGGATATAGGTTCTTACCTCTTCATATGTTTGCTACCACTCCATGCCAACCACATATGCATCCATAATTCTCCACCATAATCCATTGGGCTCCCTCTACCATTTGTTCCCCACCCTCAACCCTCTCTGGTAGTCTCAATTTTGCAGTCAGTTTTTAGTTTAGTTTAGTTTAGTTTGGTTTAGTTTAGTTTGACTGTTCCTTTGTTTCTTTGCATTACACTTATGAGTGAAATCATATTTGTCTCTGACTTCTTTCTGCTTGCATAACCCCTACCAGTTCTTTGTTGCTCCAAGTGGCAAAAATTTATCTTCATTATAGCTGAGTACTATTTCACTGTGTGTATATATACCACATCTTAATGCACTAATCTGTTGTTGGGCACATAAGTTATTTTCATACCTTGTCTATTGTAAAATAGTGCTGCAAAGTACATAGGAGAGCATATACCCCTTCAAATTAGTGGTTTTTATTCTTCATATTAATAACCTAAAACAGGGATAGCTGGATTCTGTGGTAGTTCCCATTGGGGCTGGTCCATTCTGTATTCCCACCAAAACATTGTTGAGAGTTTCTTTTACTCCCCATCCTCACCAATCCTTGTTATTTCTGGTCTGGTCTTTCTGATATGGGCCATTCTCACAGATGTAACTTGGAATTTACTATGGTTTTGATTTGTATTTTTCTGATCATAAGTGATGGTGAGCATTTTTTTTTCATGTATCTGTTGGTCATCTGTATATCTCCTTTAGAGAAGTGACCATATAGCTCTTCTGCCATTTTTTATTGGGTTGTTTCTTTTCATATTGTTTAGTTGTATGAGTTCTATATAAATCTTGGACATTAGTCCCATTACAAATATATGATGTACAAATATTTTCTCGAATTTGGCAGGGTATCTTTTAATTTTATTGATAGTTTATTTTATTGTACAGAAGTTTTTTAGTTTGATATAGTCTTATTTGTTTATTTTTACTTTTGTTTTCCTTTCCTTTGTAGTCAAATCCCCAAAGACATCGCTGAAACCAGTGTCACAATATTTAGCCTATGTTTTCTTTTGTGTATTTATGGTTAATGTCTTGTACCTAAGCCTTTAATCTAAGCCTTTAAGCCTTTAATTTTTGTGTATGAGGTGCGATAATTATGTAGTTTCATTCTTTTGAATGTGACTGTCCACTTTTTCCAAAATAGGTGTTGAAAAGACTTTCTCCATTCTATGGTCTTGACACCTTTATTATAAATAACTGTCCATATAACTGTGGGTTTATTTATGAACAGTCAATTCTATTCCAATCATCTGGTTTATTTTTATTTCACTATCATCTTTTTTAGTATTATGAACAGGTGAAATATGGAGTCATGTGAGGTACATTAGTGGCATTTGACCATCTTTCCAGTAAATGACCTTTTTTATTAGACATAGTGCCAACACATACACCTTCAAAATTATGCTATCTACCTTCATTTCTATCACAATTCAGTAGTCAAATTACTAGCAGTTAGAGCCATTTTATTTTTCAGAATCCCCATTGCTTTTATCCTACTTATGGAGATATTGTTCATAAATCACTTAAATTGTCAAACCCTGAAATGGTAAAAATGCCATCAGTAGTAAGGATGTTGGCTTTTATACTATATAAAGGAGCTTCTATAGAAATAATAGTAAGTCCTTTATGAAAAGGAGATGATGCATAACATCAGATACCTTTCTAATCATAAAGTCTAACTGATGTTTCCTTCTTTTGATATGTAAAGTAATACTTACTGATGGATGTTAATTGCTAATTCTTTCATCATATGTATTTTCTATCATGCACAAAACCTGAAAGTGGTCAGGTTCTCATTTTGAGATTACAAGACCTATACCCATTAGCAGTATCCCAGAACATTTACATTATTATGAATAGCCTAAAATAATAAATTTGTAATCAACATGAATATTAATAATAAAAAATAAATAATGCACATTGCCATTATGTTTGTATATTTTTGAATAATGATACTTAATTATCTCATTCTTTACCATGCTGATAGATATAATAACAAGTCAAGATTTATCAAGTATTTACTTTAGAAGTGCTGGATAACTTATAAACATTATCATATTTAACCCTGAGCAGTATTCCAGTGAGGTAAAAATCTACCATTGTCCTCATTTTGAAATAAAGGAAACAGCAATTCAGAAACTGTATCCACCAGCACCCCAGAAAAAAGTCAAAGAATATTTACATAGATAATTAAGAGTTTAATAAGCAACTATGGTATTCACAAAAGTTCGGGCAGAGTTTATGGAAAGCTGCTGTGGAATTAATAATAGTGGAAATCTTTAGTATTATTAGTTCTAATGGGACAGAGGGGTAAAGTTCTATTGGAATCCAGAAAGGAACTGTAAGGGTCATCTGATGGAACCTGTGATCTTAGCCAGCTTTTGGTGATGTGGTAGAAAGTAAATAATGGATCTAAATACCAGAACTTGCCTCTTATTTACTGGACCCAACTGGAAAAAAAGAGTACAAAACAGCTTGTTTGTTCTATTTACAGGTCAGCTTGGAACAGAGAGGGTGAAGAAATCTAGAGAATGAATCTGAAATGGAAAATATCTAGGAATTAAATAGCTATTAAGTGCCAGAGCTAATATATTAATGTCAAACACTACTCCTAACCACAGTATCACAATTCCTCTCATATAAAAATATTTTCTGAAACAACATTTGGCCAAGGAAGCTATTTTATTTATTTTTTTATTTGTAAGTTATTGTCTTTTTTTTTAAGATTTATTTTTTTATATTCCCCATACAATTGCATCCCCCTTATTTTGACCCCAATCCTTCTTCTCCCTGCCCTGCCCCATAGTGTGTCTCTGGTTTATAGTTGCTTGTTGATTTTGATTTTTTCTTTATTATAGTTTTTCTTTTTCCTGGTCCCTTATTTAGGTTTTCTAGATTCCTGCTATGAGTGAGACCAACCGGTATTTTTCTTTTTCTTTCTGGCTTATTTCACTGAGCATAATCCCTTCCAGCTCCATCCATGTTGCTGCAAACTGCATGAGTTTATCTTTTTTGATTGCTGAGTAATATTCCATTGTGTATATTGCCACATCTTCTTGATCCTGTCATCTATTATTGGACATTTGGGTTGTTTCCAAATCTTAGCTATTGTAAATAGTGCTGCTATAAACATAGGGATGCAGGTGCTCTTTTGAATTAATGTTTCTGTGTCATTTGGGTAAATACCCAGGAGTGGAATTGCTGAATCATGTGGAAGCTCTATCTTTAGTAGGTTGAGGAATCTCCACACAGCTTTCCATAGTGGTTGGACCAGTTTGCACTCCCACCAACAGTGCAAGAGAGTTCCTTTTTCTCCACAACCTTGCCAACATTTGTTGTTGCTAGTTTTTTTAATATGTGCCATTCTCACTGGTGTAAGATGGTATCTCATGGTAGTTTTGATTTGCATTTCCCTGATGACAAGTGATGTTGAACATTTTTTCATATGCCTGTTGGCCATTTGCATTTCCTCTTCAGAGAAGTTTCTTTTTAGCTCTTCTGCCCATTTTTTAACTGGATTATTTTCTTTTTTGTTGTTGAGTCTCATCAGCTCTTTGCAGATTTTTGTGATCAGTCCTTTATCATTAGTGTTGTGTGCAAAAAATGTTCTCCCAGTCAGTGGGGTTTCTCTTTGTTTTGGTTATTGTCTCTTTTGCTGTGCAGAAGCTCTTTAATTTGATTTAGTCCCAGTTGTTTATCTTTGCCTTCACTATCACTGCTTTGGGTGATGTGTCTGTAAAGATGTCTTTGATGTGCATGTCATGTAGTGTTTCGCCTATATTTCCTTCCATATATTTTACAGTTTCAGGTCTTATGTCTAGTTCTTTAATCCATTTTGAGTTGGTTTTTGTGCATGGTGTGAAGTAGTGGTCAAGTTTCATTCTTTTGCATGTAGCCACCCAGTTTTCCCAGCACCATTTATTGAACAAACTTTCTTTGCTCCAGTGCATATTCTTTGCTCCTTTGTCAAAGATTAGTTGACCATAAATCTATGGGTTTATTTCTGGGTTTTCTGTTTGGTTCCATTGGTCCGTGTGTCTGTTCTTGTTCCAATACCATGCAGTTTGGATTATTATGGCTTTGTAGCATAGTTTGAAGTCCGGGAGTGTGATGCCTCCATTCCCTTCTTTTTTTTTTCAGGAGAGTTTTGGCTATTTGGGGTTTTTGGTGGCTCCATAAGAATTTCATCAATTTTTTTTTTTCTTTGAAGAAATTTTCATTGTCATAGCATTGAATCTGTATATTGCTTTTGGTAGGATGGTATTTTGATAATGTTAATTCTTCCAATCCATGAGCAGGGGATGTCTTTCCATTTCTTTGTGTCTTCTTCTATTTTTTTTTTTTTAAGATTTATTTATTTATTTATACAAGCACTGGGTACAGTCAAAAGCACGGGAGGGTGAGAGAATTCACCAGAGCCAGAGCGGGAAGCAGAACAGGCAGGAGGGCCAAAGTACACTGCTGAGGGGAGCAGTGGGTGCAGCAGGAGAGGTCTGCGCGCTATGTGGGAACTTCGCCCGGCAGCCGTGGATTGAACCGACGCTGCAGAGGCTGCGGGCTGCTTTGCAGCCCAGCGCTCAACCACTGCACCACTAGGAAGTCCTTTCTTCTATTTCTTTTAACAGTGTTTTATAGTTTTCTTTGTTTAGGTCCTTTACTAAAAAAGATATTTTAAATATGGTTACCATCCTTTCCCAAATTTTGGAATATGTTTATACCTACAAATAAGTAAGATAAAATATATGAAAGCTATCAGAATGCCAAAAAAAAAAGTTAGATGTAGATATTAATTTTACATTTTTTTTGGTATTTTCAAATTAATTAAACCATAATTGTTCACATTCTCAGATTCCAGACTCCATCATTTCTCGTGGTGTTCAGGTGCTCCCACGAGACACAGCCTCCCTCAGCACTACTCCTTCAGAATCGCCTCGTGCTCAGGCTACATCTCGCCTTTCTACAGCTTCCTGCCCAACACCAAAAGTAAGTGTATCTCCTTGGCACCTTATATTTGTTAAAGTATGTGAATCTGGGAAGACTAACCAGTATTTCCCTTGCTTGTCAAGGTTGGCTTGCATGCAAGATCATAGAGTAAAAAGTGAGTGGATTGTTAGTTACCACTTACTGTTTTGCAAATTGTCCTATTAGGTCAACAGTAGAACAATAGTAATTTCATGCCAAATGTCTACTCCAACATAACAGCTACAGGTATCATTTTCTGTAGCTCCTATTGCTTTGTTGTAGACTTGATATTTTTGAGTATATTCATTAGTATAGATGTGAAGTAATTTGTTGCTATAGAGGATTAATGTTTTTCTGTCAATAAATAGCAAGATTAATAAAATAATGTCACTAAAGGAATTATTTTTAGCTTGTCCAAGCTGGGGTAGCTCCCTGCTCTAGTATCATTCCAAATTTTTTCAAATATATTCAACTTGGAATGTTGCTGCCTAATATTTGGAAAACCAATCTAAATTGATTAGAAAGAAAGTTTTAATGCCAACCTTTAGTGGGGGGAGAAAAGTATCTAGTCTTTACTTTTTTTATAATCTGTCCAATTACTGAATAATGTTTGGGGATAAAAGGATTAGGCATTTACTTGCCTCCTCATATCCTCGTGTATATGATAAATTAAGTCACATACTTATCTACAACTGACTGTTTTCTCCTGGAATGTCCATTCCTTGGTTAAGTTAGTCATTTGTAATTTCAGTTTCCTAAGTGATGGGTGTAATATTGGCATCAAAAAGTTGATAGTAAAATTCCTTTCTATTTAATAACATGATGTTAGATACAGGCTGTACCACAAATTTATTTTAGGAATCTGACAGTTAATTTTTCAAACCATATCTTTTTCTCTGTAATGAAATTTAAGAAGTTATACAGCTATATCCCTGAATTCCCACTTTTCTATGAATTTCATGACTGTTGTAATGGATTTAACTAGAAGTAATCTCGAACATCTTGATGTGATGTTGATCTTGATGTGAGTTGTGAAGTTGCTTTTACATGATACAACCTTCTCAGCAAAGTCTTCTGAGTGCTACCATTGTTTCTCATTGTTTTTAAATTTGTGTTAAAAATAACTGATATTAATTTCATAGTTTTTAAAAATATTGGTCCTAAATCTTCAGTGAAGAAAAACTATAAGAATGTTTTACACATTAAATATACACTGGCATGGTTGAGTGCCAGTCAGCTACATTTCCAACTGAATAAAAACTTGGAGATCTTAATATTTGAAGTGGATAGAGGAATCTTATCTTTGTCTCTTAAATTTTTTGGACAAAATAATTTATTGTTTGACTGCTTTAAATCTCAGCTATACAAACTAGACTCATAAAGTCTGGAAATAATTACAACTAAATATTAAGTCCACTCTAAAAGTTTGATCATTTACCAAATGTTGGAAATTCAGAACTATCCAAGATACAATATTTTTCTTTCAATAATATACTTTGAACATAAATATATTCTGAATGTTTTAGCTAACTTTATGTAAATAGCTAAATTTAATCATATAGTCATGCTTAAAACTTTTTGAAACTTTGAAATTACATTCTAATTATAAAGAAATATCAAAAACAATTTTAAAAATCACTTTATATTTACAAATTTACTGAAGTAAAAATTCTAAAAAAAAAGTTAACATTTATTAAGTTAATTTGATTATTGTAAAACTTAGGGAAACAAGTGACTTCTTGACATATTTTCCTTAGATAATACTTCACATTCAAACTAACAAATTCAAATAAATTCCTATCTTTGAAAATCCTTTTTGTAGGAATTTTTTTCTGTATTTTTATCTAGGAGTAAGATTCTGTTCCTTTTAAATAATTTTCCCACCACTAAAATATATGCTTCAAAAGTAAAATTATTGCTTAAGTGTAATTTTAAAATGAAAATTTTAATACTGAATCAGAATACAACTACAGTAAAAAAAATATTTTGAATATTGATATTTTGAAAAGAAGTAAAGAAATTCAAATTAATCTTTCGTGTGAATGTTCATAACAGCTTTATTTATAATAGGCAAGAGTTATAAATCATACCTTAAAGGCTAAAAATGGAAATGCTGTATGACTCAATAATTCCACTCTAAGTCATATATCCAAGGAATATGAAACCATTAACATAAAAAACCCATATGTTTCACAATAGTCACAGCATTATTTATAATAGCTAGGATATGAATGCTGCCTAAATGTCCATTGATGGGTTACTGGATCAAGATCTAGTCTGTCCACATTCGGGAGTACTGTATAGCCAGAAGAAAGGATGTTATGGGGGCCTCCCTAGTGGCACAAGGGGTTAAGCACCACACTATGAAGCTATCTGCAGCCACTGCAGCACCAGTTCGATCCCTGGCCAGCCAGGGAGCTACCCACATGGTGCAGCAGACCTCTCCTGTCTCGCCCGCTGCTCTTCTCAGCAGTGTATTTCAGTCAGTCTGCCTGTTCTCTACTCTGTCTCTGGTGAATCCTCTCACCCCACCCCACTGACCTGTACCCCAGTTCTTGTATGCATAAATAAATAAAAATCTTTAAAAAAAAAAAAGGATGATGTGTAGCCACTTGCAACAAAATGGTGAGAATTTAAGAGAATTATGTGCAATAAAGCATGTCAGAACAATAAAAACAAATGCTGGACATTTATATAGCCAACAATTCAATAACATAAAACACTTTCAAAAACCTGATAGCCGAGGGGTCCAGTCTCAGCACTATCACTACTGCAATCTGAGTTCAATCTATGGCCAGGGAGCTAACCCACATGGCATATAAGAGCTCTCCTACCTCACCTGATGCTCCCTTCAGCAGTGTATTTCAGTGAATCCACCTGTTCAGCTTCCCATTCTGTCTCTGGTGAATCCTCTCATCACCACCCCTCACACACAGACCTCTGGACTACACCCCCAGTTAAATAAATAAATAAATATTTAAAAATAAATACCTTCATAGCTCTAAAGTTAAGAGGAAAAGGGAGGGAAAGGGACAATAGGGCATAAGGAATGTCAGTGGAGAGATAGATTAAGAGACAGCGAGAAACGACATAGAAAATAAATAACTCAAAGTGGAGGGGGAAAAACAGAATGTGGATAGGGGCGTGGCAGAATTCTACATCCCCACAGGGATTGATTTCATTGTCAGAGGCCACAGCAGGATCACCATCTTTCAAGGAACCACAATAAGCTAGTACTTATTCTATAACTACCCAGAGTGGTGTGTGGGGATATAAAAAATTTTTTAAATAAACCAAATATTCATCAGCAGGAAAATGGATAAATTGTATAGCTGTTCTACATTTAAAATGAATGCATTATTGATATACACTACAATATGGATACACCTGAAAATAATTTTTCTGAATGAAAGATGAAAGACAAAAATTGATATGTCTATGATTCCATTTATATAAAATTTTGGAAATTGCTAACTAATTATTAGTAACTTAAAGCACAGCACACTAGTTATATGGAAATGAATTAAAGGATTATAGAAGGGAAAGAGATTGCAAAGGAATATGAGGACATTTTTGAGGGTGATATAACTATTATTTTGGTCTGTAAAGCCAGATAGATACGTATACATGTTTTATGTATTTATAGGTATGTATACATGTTAAAACATGTGTTGTACGCTTAAATATGTGTAGTTTATTTTATGTGAATATTCCTAAATAAAACTGTTACCAATCAAAAATAAAATAAGCAGATATACATAAGTAATTCTATTATTAGAATTTCACTTAATAATTATAAATTGAAATCTATTCTAAGAAAAAATAAAAATGTTATGGTGATAGAAAATAATATATGGGGAATCTTACTTTGAGAGGATGATCAGAGAAGCCCTCTCTAAGGAATAACATTTCCTCGGGGATATGAAGGAGGAGTAAAAATAAAACGTAAGTTTTTGTGTTATCTGAAAGTGTTGAGAATTATAATTAGCAAAAAATGATCACTTTAAAAAATGATCACTTTAAAAGCAGTTGTCACCAACCAAGAACTCTCAGACTAAAACTTTTCATTTGTGTAAGAATAGTCTTATTTCAGTTTGTGTCATAATCAATTTTTAGTATCAGGTTTTTTTATTTTATTTAAATTTTTTTTTTTTTTTTTTTTGCCTTTGACTACTGATTTCAAGTTGCAAGGCCCTAGTTTTAGCACTTAAATCTGTTCTAGGTGAACTATTTGTATTAAATGTATAATGTAAAATTTAGGACAGAGTAGAAGTCAAAACTGATTCTCAGGTTTCTAATTTGAATTATGGGCAAATGATTATGTTATTAACTATGTTAACAACTAGAAGTTATGAAGGTAAAAGAAAGGGAGATAAAACCTTTTGATTGTGAATGTGTACAGTCTGAGATATGTATGAGACACCCAAGGAATGATATCCAGTGCAAATCGAACATATGTTTGAGTTTGGCATCGGTATTGTTAATGCATCTCGGTTATAGTATTTATAATCTAGTGTGTATTAGTGATGGTCAAATGCTATACAAATCTCTGTCCACTTTTCAGATTAGATATGCCTGTCTGTCGTGTGTAGAAATAAATGTGTAAATATAGTTTCTTTACAATACAAATAAAATACAGTCTTGAATGATTAACACTAGAAAAATCACTTGCTAATAGGAGCCCTGGATTCAAGTGCTGGACCCTCTAGGTTATAACCACAGTATACAAAGCTAGTTATACAACTTTTCTGAGCTTTGTGTCTATGATGAAACTGATAATACTAACTCCCAAAGACTTTGGTGCTGGAAAAGCAGTGGTGAGTAAGTAGACATTATTCTTGCCCTTAAAAAGACAAAAAAGCTACATGTTATAATAAAATTTAATAAGTGTTATGATTTATCTTCAGGTCTACATATTACTCTGAGAATAACCTTCAGAGGCACTTAACCTAATCTAAAAGGATTAAATAACTAAAAGTAACATGGTTCAAAAGTAACAGTTCCAACCTTTCCATCTTCAA